TAAAGTTTACTTAATATTGTTATGCTAAACACATAACATTTAAATTTATACATTTTCAAACACATATTATACTTTCACTCTTCTATTATATAAGATTATTTTTTAAGTATTGATTTTCGTACAAAATAATTAGTTTATTAAATGATTCAAAATGATTGACTAACAAATATAAATTATATAAAAATTACTTTAAAAAAAACATATTTTCTCCCGGGCGTTTACGCGCGGGGTGGTTTCCTAGTTTTTCTAATATGGAATTATCACCTAGCCTTTGCACCAAAAATTATGTTTAGTGTTATTATCTACCCTGTCGTTTTCTTTCTCTCTTGTTATTTACAACTTACAAAGTTACAAGACATGCACACATGCTCATGTAGAGCGTCCATCATCTAACTAATTTTATGGAGTTGGGTTGGGTGACCTCTGGGTTCTAGATACAGGTAGGTGTGTAAGTTCTAACAATGTCGTTGATACCTGCCTGAGAAGATGGGAATCTCTGTTTCATAAGGGTTACATTCTTGAGGAGTCAGAAGATGAAGAATTTGTTGAATTAGGAACAAGATTGCTAGAGGGAGATATAGTTAATAATCGGGACTTTGTCTATTTCAGGATGTTTGGTTTTGTTATCTTGTACTTAACCTCTAGTATATAACAATATTAGGCTTATTTATTTCCATTACATGCTCTTTACATGTCTAGTTTACATTCCTATTCTCAGTTGCGGATTGATGACATCCCGAAGCTTCCGAAAGAATACAAAACCAATATGATTGAGGACTGCTATGAAACTCACAAGCAGAGAAACAAACCATCTTTAGCTCTGAACTTCTAAACCCCTGAGGCAGACCTTTTTTTTCCATTGCATTCTTTTTGCGCTTTAAAGAGAAACCTAAATCCATGTATGATCTAACACTTTCAGCCAGTAGCTGCCAAGAATTTCACTGAAACTGCGATAAGCATTACCATTGCAAACAACAAATCTAAAAGCCAAGAAAATCAGATCTCTGATATGCAACAAAAGTTTTACAACTTTCTATTAAGGTGATACTTTGTTTTTGGTTGGTTAATAATGAGTTATGGCGACTTATATATCTAATGGACCTACACCGTATCTTTCAGTTATCTCTGGATTGAAGACGAAGAGATTACACAACCATAAATTTATTGAAGCGATATATCATATGCTTAAGTGACAAAACCATCAAAGAATGAAATGAATGTACACTAACACTATTCACAAGTTACCAGCTAAAAACACATTGAACTTATTTGCTTTGGGGTCCATCAGCTCCAAAGGAAAAGGCCTGATAACCCGTGGGACTAGTCAACTTCCCCGAGCCACTACTGCTACTAACAGAGCGGTCTATCTCCTCCCTGCAAGCCACCAAAGGAATCGGCCGTTGAGGTATAGAGATAACAGTAAACTCATTACTCTCCAGCATCTTCACCACTTGATCCATTGTCGGTCTAGCATGTAGCTGAGGGTGAGAGCAAAGCACTGCTATCAGCACATACTTCTCCATAACCTCCGGAGTTCCCTTCTCCGGCATACCATCTTCCACCACGTCCAACGTCTGCCCTTCTCTGACAAGGGCCCACGCCCAGTCAGCTACTGACACAGGCTGCCCTTCCTCGTCCGTCACAATGGCCTTTCTCCCACTCAGAAGCTCCAAAAGCACCACACCGAAGCTGTACACATCGCTCTTCTCTGTTAACTGCCCGTAGAGCGCGTACTCTGGAGCTACATATCCCATTGTACCCGCGACACGCGTGCTCATATGCGTCATTCCTTCAGGGTTGAACTTAGCTAACCCAAAATCTGCAACCTTAGCTTCAAACCTCTCGTCCAAGAGAATGTTACTAGCCTTGATGTCCCTATGAATGATCGAAGGCTGCGCGCCGTAATGTAGATAAGCTAATCCTCTCGCCATCCCAAGCGCGATCCTCTGCCTTAAAGGCCAGGCGAGATGAGTCTCTAACTCTCCAAATAGATGGTCATGAAGACTACCATTACTCACAAGATCACACACAATGATCCTCTGATGACCTTCATAAGGCGTAGTAGCTGTACAATAGCCTCTCAGGGCAAGAAGATTCACGTGGCGTATGCTCGCAATAACCTCAACTTCATGAGCAAAGTTAGCATCTCCACCAGCTGAACAGTTCTTGAACCTCTTGAAAGCAACTTCAGTGCCGTCTTGCAACACGCCTTTGAACACGTTGCCATAACCTCCCCTGCCTATGATGTTGTGCCTTGAGAAGTTCTTGGTAGCTTTCTTGATCTCTTCGAAAGTGAACTTAACTAGAGTTGTGCTCTCGCTCATTGAGTCTAGCCTAGAACGTGTACCCGCTTCTAAACTATCTCTCAGCTTCATCTTCCTCATCTTGAAGTCTCTCTTTCTCCTCCTCATGTAGTACCAAAGAATCAAACCGGATGATACAAGAAACAGAGCAAGAAACGGAACAACTATCTTCACCACCTTCTTACCAGACCCGCTACTACTAGAAGAAGCAAGATCAAGAAGAAACAAGCATTTCGCTGTACCTTTATCCACCGGACCGAACCTATTAGCGAAAGCAGCACCGTAGATCGACGAGAAGGCAGTACAATCAGAGACGTTTCCTATAGAATCTCCAGTGAGATAAGCCTGAAACGCAGACAAGCTCTGAGTACAGGAAGCACAAGGAGTATTACTCTCAAGAGAGAGGTTACATCTCATCACAGCCGTGCTCAGAGTTGAGTTAGGGATCAAGGCTTCAAACTGAGACCTGGTGGTGATGTTCATACATCCCTGAGAGATCCAAGGCGTCTGGAAACCACATCTTGATCTGACGTCGAAGCGAGGGAGGAACCCGGAGATTGAAGACTGTAAAGCGTCCCAGCAAGAGGCGGCGGAGGAGAGAGGTGGGGTGAAGGAACCGGTTTGACGGAGGTGGTGTGAGTAGACGAGGCGGAGGCCTTGGAGGAGGTATTGGCAGGTGGTGGTGCCGTCTGGTCTTGGACGTTTGAAGGGTTGTAGGACGGAGAAGTCGAGAGGACAGGTGGAGTTCTGAGCTGAGACTAGGGAAGAGGATGATATGGTGAAGATGAGGAGGATGTAGACGACGGAGGTTCGACGGGGAAACATTTGGCGGTGGCGCAGTCAAAAGAGAATAAGGGAAGAGAGAGAGAGAGAAGGTTTAGTTGACTTTGCTTTTGTTAATATCCTATACTCTGTCTCTCAAGTTATTCATGTGTGTTGTGTAGTAATAATAATAAAATTGTTATTAAACTATTAATAATAGTAATATAACGACTGGTTTTTCTTTGTGGGGTCAAACATCTCCGAAATTGCATGAGAACTTTCCTTTGTGTTATTCAATGGTTGTTACTTGTTAGTGGTAATCTGATAACATTTAAAATTCTTGATTGGATCCAACTTCTAACTTTTTCACTTTTCGTATTTTACAATGCCTATTTGCGTTTAAATAATAAAAATGTGAGACAGAACTAAAGTCCATACGTGTCTCTTGTCATTTGGCAATATTCAGAAATATATTATCTAATAGGAACATTAAGACATACAGAAATAAATAATTACATACTGGATCAAATAAGAACATCGAGACATACTACGTGAGCCTCTAGAAGACTAGAAAAACCATATACATTATTAAGCTTGGGTGTTCAGGGTCCCAATCAGGTTTCAGTTTTTCGAATTTATCAAAATCAACTTCATTCGGGTATGAAAGTTCACTTCGGGATCGGTTCGGTTTCTATCAGGTTCAGATCGAGTAAGTAAATTTTCAAAGAGTTGGTATAACCCATTGTACTTTCGGTTTCGGGTCCCAATCGGTTCTTTGGTTTAAAAGTACATGATTTGTACTTACTTTGTAACCAAAATATAAATAAAATCAATTTTTTGAATTTAAAGTATATGATTTATACCTATTTGTAACAAAAAGATAAGTAAAACTTATTCAAAAAAATAAGAAAAGAACATCAAATGTGATCGTTCAAAATCAAATGGAAAGTGAACATAGTTACTGGTAAAAAAAACCAAATAAGTAAGAACATAAAACTACCAAACTCTCTTGAAATGAGAAACAGTATTCAGTGAAAATAAAATCAAAATCTAAAAACTTCAAGTTTTATTTACACCTACAACCATCAACTTTTACATTAAAAAGAATTATTTTAGATTTTTAATAATATCTTAAAGTATGTTAGATATATATTAGAAATTGAAATCATGTTTGGTACAAGTTATTTTTTGAGATTTTGAATGTTTCGGATTCTATCGAATATCCATTTAGGTTCGGGTTTGATTCGGATAATACCCATAATCCAAAATATTATAAAACAAAATCCATTCGGTATTTACGATTGGGTTCAGATCGATTCAGATTCATTTTTATCGAATCGAATTCGGTTCAGATTTATGGATTTGGTTTATTTGCAAAATCAGCAGTTTTATTGAGTATTGTTACCATAAAGGCCAAAATCCACGGCGTGTGGAAACTTTGACACTCGAACCTTTTCTTCATTCGGTAGCTTACTTACTTTGGTCCGAGTTTCTCTTGTTATTCTCTATTTCTTTACTCTCAATGACTGCTTTCTTTCGATTGGCTCAGCCACAAGCTGGGGTAATGTATTATGTATATTTGGGTTTGTTAATGTCACCAACAACAAACGTCATAGAATTATAATCGTTTTGTTATTGTGGGTTTCGACATATTTTAGTAACGGCTTAAGAGCTTCACATCATTTTTAATTCATAAGTTTACACACTTGTCTTTTATATGTAAAGTTGCTTTATAAAATATGAATTGGTTACTCATCCAATCCGATATACTAGTTGAAGTTTTTGAGACATGCATGATCCATTATGAGTCTAATAACGATCAAAGGTAAATTGTTGAATATATACTTGTTTTAAAATGGTGAATCAGGTAGGAGAAGAGAAAATACAGAACGCCATCCTTCATCAGTGATATGAACATTGTCCCAAAAGAAGAATGACTTTGGATCTTTGCAAAGACTGTATAATTTTCTACCGTATATGTCTACATCTCCACAAGAGTTTCCTCCTTTTCTTCCCGCACAACATGCCTTTAATGGTTCCGGAAATGTTGAAACCCCTGCCTCAATAAAAGATTTGTATGTTACAAAGTTAAATGGTTCTGATTCTAGTTACACAAAAATGAACGAGAGAATAACGTACCTGGAACTCCTCTATACTTGAATATGGTCATGAAAGCCTTGTAATAATCAAGCATGAGGAAGCTTTTATCATTATTCTCACCGTTTAGTTTATTCAATCCTTCCCGGATAAGACGGTTGTGGAGCTTCGTCAACGGGTTACTAGTGTTGCAGCCTTTAGAAGCGGAATATAACGGCACACAATTGTGTGGGGGAGACAAAACCACAAACACCTTTCTCACTCCCAAGTCCTTAATTCGCTTTACATCCAACAAAATTTGTTTCACAACTCTCCTTATCAATGCTGGACGGCCCTGGATGCCATTTCATTTTCTTTCGTTATAACAATATCAAGGCTACATAAACAGTGAACCTATTTCACATACATATGCATCGAGTCTCTTTATAATTTTCTAGCATCTTTCAAGTTAGTTCATCGTGTTACTCAACAAAAACTACTATAGTAGCCGATAACTTTTATAATCATCATAACATCATTATTAATCTGTATACCTCCGGGGTACCATTGAATATGTTGTACTTGATATAGTCATTGCCGATGAAGCTGAAAAAAGCTACGGAAGAGTTGAGATGGGCCGGTGAATAAACATTTTTCTGGAGAAGTTGTTCAAAGGAATTGATCTGCATACTCGCGGTGGGGACTGTGAAAATTGTCTCAAACACGCCAGCTCCACCAAATGCGAAATTGATTCCATTATTCACAACTTGTCTCGGTCGTGCGAACCTCCTCCATTTGTATGCAATCGGCGTTTTAAGTCCAAGATGCTTCGCTACATGATATAATACGAATCAAGGTACGTAATGAATTATTGATTTTGAATTTGCAAATAAATAGTAACGCGGTTTTGTTTATGTGTTTATATGACATGAATTATTATTATTTTCCGTTTAATAAATTGGTTACAGTGTAACGACTAATTAAAGTATTTGTAACGATGTAATAGTTTTACAGATAAAACTTAACGTACAAATAAATGATAATGCTATCAATTCTTGAAAACAAACTCGTATGAATTCTTAATCACGATTATATGAAATAAATTCAATCAAAGAATATAAGACTTTAAAATGTTATTATTTGATATTCATAAGTTGTATTTAGCTAACATATTTTCAAAATAGTTACTAAACTGAAAATAAAATCAATAAACTAAGAATGTAAATAAAAGGTTTCTTAAAAAAATAATCAGCTTATTTGAAGTGAATGAGTTCAACGTGATATGTGACTATTTTAAGTCTTTGTAGTGCAATACATAAATTTGCCGTTTTAATATGAAAAGAATCCATAAATATACTGTCACAATGAAACATTAGGTTGAGAGAAGAAAATTTATATACTGAATCATAGACATCTATGTAAGACACTTCAGAGTTGTCACAAATAGATACTGAGTTTGGAACCAGTAGCCTATTTAGAATAAAACCAAAATTGCAGGTGTGAAATTTTTTGTATTTTCCAGATAAAAAGTCTATATACTACTATAGTGATTTTTTAACCAAAATATTACAAAGAAAATAAACTTTCATTACCGAGATAATCAGTTGAGACACGACCATCACCGAACCGGCCGGTAGGCTTTCCCGGAAAAGTGATTCCGTATGGAAACCTCCATGAGGGGGAGACAATAATTGGTGTGTTACCGGTGTCCGCGTACGAGTCTCCGAACACAAACAACGCTTTCGGTTTGAAACCAAGCATGCCACCTTCTTTAGAGGGCTCGCTAGATGGAGAAATCGATCCTCTTACACTTTTGTAGCCTAGAGTCATTAGAAATTTAACAATGAATTAACTAAAAGTTATATCCAATTGTATATGTGGATATTAACTTAGCAATGAGCGTAACAGAATTAATTAAGCAGAAGAAAACATAAGGTATATCGATACCTGATAAAAGAATCAGACACAAGAAAAGAAACCAAGGAACTGTTTTAGTTATGTTCATGGTCGGAACCTTGTGTGTGTTGCTGCTTGGAAAAGGTGTGAAGCTGCTTGAATGTATATATAGGTCGAGGAGATTTTGCGCTTGGGAGTTTTAGATTTAGCGGTTTCCAGTATTGAATTAATTGACTTCAATGTGGTTCTAATTTAAACTCCTTTTTAGATTATCTTAATTTACTTAGCACAAAAAAACTCCTTTTGCTTCCTCGGTTTCAGGTACTCCATTACAAGGGAATGGTACTCCCTGCCACCCCACAAGGACAGACAAAACACATCCCTCTTCACACCAACACAGACAACACACTAGTCTAAAACCTACGAAAAGCAAAACACATCAGAGGCTACTTCTTTTCTTTTAGGAGGCTCAAGGTAATTTTAGACCCTTGACAAAATGTTGTCAATTTTTATTTTACATGTATCTATGGTAACCTAAGAATTTTTGGCCCTGTATTCTTTACTATTTATGCAAAAAAAAGTTGGACCATAGGGCACATACCCCCTTGTACACTCTCCTAAATCGGCGCTGCGTAGGATTGGACCAGTCCCTTGTGTATCACACTTTGAGCAATGGAAGAAGCACTTCTCTTGGCTTCCTTAACTACACTTTCCACTTTCCATTCTCTAATACCCTCAAACGGCTCCCTATTTCCTGCGCTTGAAACGAAAAGGCCGGCCAGGCTTTCAGATGATTGACCGCCCTAAAAAGTTGTTTGAAACCACCCGCAAAAACAATTGTTTTAATTCGCTGACTTTTGATATTTTCTACAGCTCATACTATAATTACTAGAGAAAATCCATCCTACGGACCGGACAAAAAAAATATTTTTTTATTTATTTTTTAATAAAATATTTAAATATTTATTATTTAAATAAATATTTGAAAATGTAAATATAATTTAGTTACAATATTATTATTTTATTATTTTGTTAAAAATCATCAATTTTTTATTCTACTTTAACTTCGCATACCACAATACCTTCATATGTTAGCAGCCCTTGCTTGCATCATAAGTTAACCTAACAAAGTGTATACGCTTAATGATCTTGTTTTCTATCTCGGTTGTTCAAAAAAAAAATCTCGGTTGGTCCCATTACGAATATTGTAAAGCTACGTTAAATAATGACCAACTCTTAGTATCTTCCATCTAAGTCACATTGAGTCATACGGGATAGGATCGGCACGCGCTACACATATGATATGACTATAGTATGGTATATTTAATTCTATTTTTGATAAGTTTCATTAGTAATCTGGTATCCTCATGAAAATTGTAGATTATTAATATTTAGAGTCAAATAAGTTTAGGAATGGTTTGGACTATTTGTGTGTAACTTAATAGGCTGCACGTGTGTTGAAATGTATATATTATTGTATTTTGTTTACATGGCGTGGGTTGGCTATCGAAGGAGTAGTACAAAATAGATGTTTGTATAGTTAATCAATTATCGGTCAATATTTTGGAAAGTTTAGGCTCTAATGTGGAACAATTTTTTTAAAACGTTAAAGGTTTAAGTCATAAGTCTTCTGAGCATAATAATGCATGTAATGAATTGAATAAATATTTTGATAATTAATACATGAGCCATTCTGCCATTATATGGTTATGCGGGTGCGTATAGTGCAATAAATGTGTGTATGTAAAAATTTCTTTGTCTTTGTATTTTTTTTTCTTTTTTTTTTTGAAAAAGGGCTTTAATTTTTCCATCTTTATATTGTTCCATGAGTTATAATGTTTGAACACTTAATATTTCAGAATCGTTTGTGATTTTGAAGTTTGAATAATGGATCATGGGGTTTAGTATTTACTGCATATGACTTTTTGGGTTTTTAATTATTAGAATCTGTATGGTATAGGTTTGATCCAATACCGTTGTATTAAGGTTCGATGTTTTATCTGTTTTAGAAATTTGTATGTAAAGTACATTTTATTTCACGTAAGTGTCTTTTTTTTTTATTCACCGAGGGGATATCATAAGCCCATAGAAAAATTTAGATTAATCCCCCAAAGAGAAGTAGGTGTAAGAGAAATTGCACTGGGTATACACACATAAGTTGATAATTAGCGTTGATGGATTTATGTCATTTAGGATGATGTGTCTTTTTTTAATGGCAACAGTACCCCTATGTGTTTTTCTATAGCCCTTTTTTCTATCTCTCTCCTGTAAACAACACTATTATCTTTCTTCGGTTTGAAATTCCTCTTTATTTTCCTCTTTCTCTCTTTCCACAACCCAGAAGTTGAAGCTTTGAATCGTCGTTTATGAAAAGCGAACAAACAAAAAAGAAAGTAAAGTTGAAGAAGAGGAAAGAGTAAAGCTTCGATTTTGAATTTGCTCAAGAGGAGAAGAGAAATAAGTTTCTTGTGTTCTTGTGTCAAAGCTTTAATCTGAGTGAGTGCTGATTCGATTGAAATTAGACGGTGTAAGAAACAAAGTACTATGATGTGCTCGGCGTTAGCTCATTGCTACAGATTCTGAGATCAAGAAAACTTACTGAAGTTTGATGTGAACAAGTATAGTGATTGTTGGCTCTTTTCTTTAATTTCTTACACATGCACGCCAAGTTCATTTTGATAAGAACCCTAACGATCTTCAAGCTGCAAACAATTTCCAGACAAGTTCTGTTTTCTAAACTTTTTTAGAGAAACAAGTACCAGTTTTGGGATCAGATTCTGAAAAACTTTAAAGTTTTTTTCTCAGAACAGTTTATGCTACAAGTTGTTATTTATACATTGACGTGTACAATTTGGCTTCTGATTTTACACTAATGGTAGTCAACAATGGAGTTTTGATTTGCTGTTTTGTTTCTCTTCTTTAGAGAAGAGATTCAACGGAAAGGACTATTAAGTAAGAGTCTGATGCTGATGAGAAAAATTGTTTCTTCTACCAGAATTTGAAGATGAGATCAAGAAGTCAGATTTATTGGTGCCAAAGATGAATGTGAAACTCCAAAGTCAGATTATTTATGCTTACATAGTTATATTCGGTAACTGGCAATTTCTTAGAGAGTTGATTTTAAGTTTAACCGTACACATAAACTTAATAGCATGTGTTGTGATTTGTTTGAGTGTTAATTTTATATTTAACCGACCACAAATATAATTATGTTTGATACGTTATTTGTTAGAGAGTTAATGAACACCCTACACTTTTATTATCCAGCAACCATACTTTATTCGTCTTTAATATTAGAGTTAGCTAGTGTATGCAAATACATAAAAAAAACAATTTGTTATAATAATATTAATATCCACTTTAATATCCGGCTATATTTTCAAATTTCAGATATTTATTCGACTTAGCCGGCTAATTATATCTTATAATACTCATGAAATGCCACAATAATATTAATATCCATTTTAATATCTGGTTATATTTTCAAAATTCAGTTATTTATTTGACTTAGCCGGCTACTCATATGTTATAATACTTAAGTAACAATGAAATTATTTTAAAGTCTTGTTTAAATAGTCATTAAATATAAAATTAAATACAAACAACATATAGAGTATATGGATAAATTGGAGTAACCGGTAATTTTAAATCTAAATATGAGCTAACATATAAAATATCCATATAATTCACAATATAACCATGCTACTTTACGAAAGATCCAAAAAAATCACATTATAACCGGCTAAATTACATATCAACTATATGAATACTAAATATATAATTTAAGCTTATTTTGCTTCATAAAAAAGAGTTAAACCAACATTATTCATTATAAAATCAAGGAAAATAAATACAAAAACATAAATATTTTAGCCGGCTCAATATATACATAGATATATCTTCTATGTTTTTCTCTAGACAAGAATCATCAAAATGAAATCTATTGAACTACGAAACATAGATCTCTTTAGCTATTTTCACGAGCACACAAACTTAACTTTCTTCACTCAATCACAAACTTGCTCCAATCCGACACCGTATCAGAAGATCCAGTTTCACCAAAGCCACAAAAGAAAGAAGAACATGAGAACCTTGGAGAGTTGACTCTTTAGCTGACTAATTATGATTCCAAATGATCCTTGATTGTTCCTTTTGGAATCAGTCCTTGCATGTGGAAACACAAAATGACACACCCGATTGTTTCAAAGACATGCCCAATCGCCGCCGTTTAATCACATCCCAAACTAACATGTGACCCAAGAGAAAGAAAAAAAACTAGTTTTATCCTACGAATATGAGTACGTTAAGGAAAGATAAATTTCTTGGATCAAAGTGAAAAAAAAAATTGAAATTTGCAGAAAGAGTTGAGATTTGGATATGTAAAGAAGAAAGAGATAAATATGTAAAGAAGAAAGAGAGAAGATTACGTAAAAGATAAAGAATGGAAAGAGAGAGTAGGGGACAACAAAGCATAGGGTTAACCGTGTCTTTTTTACATGTACTAGTGTTGGGCTCCACCAGCTTTTTCCATCCCGCAAATTACTTCCTCCTTTCATATTTTGTATGCAAATTGCTCGTGGTGTAACCTACAGATAAACTGGGAATTCAAAAGATAAGTGTCTTAGTTCATGTCTTTTATTTAAGAAGGAATTTCTCTTTTACATTCTATTTGGTATCATTGTTTATGTTTATTTTTTTAAATGGACATTTTCAAAATTACCTAGCTATAAAATTTCATTAAATAGGTAAAAGATATATATACCCTTAATTTAGAAATATTAAATAATCATTTAAATAAAAAAAATATTTTTAAGTTTTTGGATTATATCTTGGGAAAATTTCACTTATACCACTTTGGTGGTACCACTTTTCATTTTTACCATCAACAAATGAACATTTTCAAAAATACACATTTCATTAAAGGATAAAAGACT